GAGGAGCAGAGCCGCCATTTTCCCGGACATGTTCGGCTTTTTGGCAATTCCCCCCGGACGGGGGTTTGAGTGCCGAAAAGCTGGACATGTCCGGGAAAAAGAGGACGTATGGTAACCCTAGTGCAGGCTATGGCGCACTCCTCCTCAGGAACACCCCAGATGAAGCAGGTAGCCGTGTCCTGCATTCTGGGTGTATTTAGGAATAGCACTCATGAGTGACTGCCTCTGTCTTTCCCGCCTCTTACAACCCAACACGAAAAGAGCCTTCACAGGGCTCGCCGGGTGCTGCTCGTGGTGGTGGGGAGTGTGAAGAGGGGATGGAGGCAGGCGCCGATCATGGGCTCATCCATTTAGAGTTGGAGGTAAGCGGGTGCTGTGCTCGAGGCAGGTGTAAATGGAACCCCTGGCAGTCAGAGGGTGAGAATGTGCAGGTCTGCAGGCACTGTGTTAAAAGAGCCTTTCTGAAAATGATGCCTGAAGAAGATATCAGAGGACCCTCTCGAGGGAAATAACACAAGTTAATCCCATCGCTTTTCCCTTTCTGACCATTTGAAAGAGGACAGCCGCCTGGAGGAATAAGAGAGTGTTCTCATCTAATTAACTGGGGAGCTCAGCACTGTCCCTTCCAATATTAGGACTCATTACAGCTACGTTCCAGGTTACTGGGAGCCTTGAATTTAATTCACCAGGGTCCCGTCCACAGTGCAGTTAAAGGCTTGATTAAACACAAGTGTTTTTGAACAGGCTTGTTGCTAGTAGGGTTCTAATTAGAGATGGCAAAAGTGCCTTTATATAAAAAAACATCCTGTGGAGGAATCAGGGCCTTGGCGGTGTGAGCAGCACGACGTTTATTTTGCACCAGTCGGCTTCTGAAAGCAGCTTGTGCCTCCGAATGTTGTGCTTTTGAATTGATGAAGCTGCCTTGGGGTCAAACTGGGCTTGTTATGGGGAGGAGACAGAGGAAGAGTGTGGCCAGTAGAGAGAGAGACTGGCTGGCTCTTCCAGGGGAGTCAGGCTGGGATGATTTAGTTGGGATTAGGTCCTGCTTTGAGCAGGGGGTTGGACTCGATGACCTCCTGAGGTCCCTTCCAACCCTGCCCTGCAGCTGATCCTGATCAGATGGCTGCAGTCAATTATCAGACCCCCCGAGAAGGAGTTGGGTGATTTCTGTAAAAGACGGGGAGAGTTTTGCTGGGAAGGAAAGTACAGCAGGAGAGGAGGCAGCTCCTGTAGTAGACCCTGGAGAGAGTCAGACCCCAGGTAGAAAGTCTTCAGGTACACTGGGAATACGGATCCAGCCTGTGGAGTCCCAGAGTGGGGGAAGGACTCCAGGGAGGAAGCCCTGAAGCTGAGCCACTTGGGCAGGAACTGGGCCTCCAAGGAGAAAGTCTGGAGGGTCATTGCTGTATGAGAGGGAAGGGTAGCCCAGGAAAAGCGAAGGACCTTTTTGTTCTGTTTTTTCTTTGGGATTGTTGTCAGTTTGTTATTAGTGGCTTGCCTGCCCGGGGGTGCTGAGGAGGCCAGATGTGGGGTGTTGTGGAGGCTGACCCTCTCTCATCTGTCAATCAACCAAGAATTTTTTCTTGGTGTCATTTCTGTGGCACCAAAATTTTAACAAAACCCATGAGTAAGTGCTTTGATCGTGGCCACAGACAGGATCTTTCCCAGACGCTACTCATGGAGATTTTTGCTGTAAGTGGCCAGGGTGCTATCTTGACATCTCTCTGCATCTGTACTCCTCTGTAGGGAAGGAATGCTGCTATCTAGAAGTATTTCCAAGCAGTACCACATCAAAAAGATGGTATTGTTATGACCGGTGGCACTAGGTGGTGCTGTTGCATGACGGATATGTCTATACCACCAATGAAGGTGTGACCGTAACAGGTAGCCATATCCTTGCTAGCTTTAATTGAGCGAGGTGGGCTAAAAAAAAAAACAGTAGTGAAGAAATGGTGGCATGGGATAGTCCCATCATTATGAGCCCACTGAGGACTTTAGGTTGCTGCCCATGGCAGGGTCTGTGTGTTAAATCTTCACTACTCTTGTTCGCTAGATTAAAGCTAGCGCACGTATGCCTGCCCATGCTACAATCACACCTTCGTTTGTGGTGTAGATGTACCATCGTCTTTCAAATTCTTTTTCTCAGTGTCTGAGCAAGTGTTTAGTCTTAGGAAGATGTGCTGTTGTATTGTCTTTGATTATGCAATGTTCTGTGTAGACACAGCTTCTGGAGACATGCAGCTGTGCAAACAGGAGGGGAGTTTGCTCTCTGAGTTGGTCTCTAATTAGGCCTGAGGTTGCTCCCTGTGATCTGGGCTGAGCTGAGATTCCTGGGAGAAGGGATTGCCCTGTATGCTATTAGACCATTTTAGGACTGGTGTATATCTGTGACTAGAACAAGTTACACTTAAGGTATGCCTAGATTCACAGCTGGCAATGGGTTTGTATCCCGGAATGAGCATGGGGGCTGGTATTGGGTTTTGGATTTATGATTGCAGTGTGGATAAAAAATACTAGGGAATCTATGTAGCTCTGTATTAAATAATAAATATCCATTTTCCGCTTCTCTTTGGGCATCTAAAGAACTTCAGCCTGTAACAATATTGTTAGCTAATAGTCAAAGTACCATTTTTCTCTCTTGATTTATCTTTATCTCTGGGAGACGTTTAAGTTCATGGTCCTATATCCAGTTCCAACAGATCTAGTTCCAAAATAAGCCCTTTTAAAAAAAAAAAAAAAAAAAAGCACACACAACTTACCTCTTTTCTACTCGTTTTGTCTTGGGTTGGTGTTTGTCCTCAGTGAATGAACTGTTTAACGCGCGATGCAATCTCTAGAAGAAGTGAAACAGGGGAGTAATTAAACACAAGAAAAAAGAGCCCCCACCTTTGGGGGCAGGCAAACGATGGTCTTTGTGTGGACTCCACCTGAATGTAGCTTCTTATTTTGCACATTCCGGGATACAAACCCAATGCCCAGCTCCTATTCATTGTCATAAAGGTCTCCTATTTCTGGAGCAAGAGTGGTTGATTTCCTGATGTACACTTTTTTTAAAGACCGTCTACCAGAAAGTAATGTATCCATTAGATAAGATACCCCAAGGCAGAAAGATAAATATATTTCCCCTACTTTATTACAAGCACCGTGCCAAAGGAGGCGAACCAACGTTTTTATAGACGCATAGAAAGCTTGGGAACCAATATACTGATAAACAAGATGTTACTTAGAATTCATGCTAGTTTGTAGCATATTAAAATTCAGACTGTCCCAAAGCTCAACGGGTTTTGGTTCAGGCTTTTTACACAAACGAGTTGTGTGTCTTTAAGAAAACAAACACGCACTGAAGAACAACAATCCTCCCCCCTCTCTCTTTTCATATTCTAGTATTTACAGAAAAACGGTTGTCTTCGCTTAATTTGGACTTTCCAACAATGACTCAGTCCTCAGACAACCAAACGAGGTCTTCCTCGAAATGCTTTCACCTGACTAGTGCTGTGTAAGATACAAAGGTCCACAGCCATTCTCCTTTATAACTTGCTCTGTGCTACTGACAGAATTCAACTTGTTGCTGGAGTCGGGCTCTCCGTGGACTTCTAGCAGTTCACTCTAGGTGAGATCCTCAGTTGGTGTAAGATGACGTAGCTCAGTTAAGGTCAATGATAGTGCCTGGTGATACACCAGCTGAGGACCTGATAGAATGGACAGAGGCAATCTCTACGTTCTAGCAAACGCTGCCTTCGCTCAATTGTATACAGAAATACAGCCCAGGAGTTTCCAGGATGGCTCCTATGATCACCTCTAGAATGTGGTAGGGCTAGAGATGCCATCTTCCTCTGGCATATGGAAAAATAAGATATAAACATTCATGGGGGAAAGAGGGGGGAAAATACCCCAAGACTGACCCTGCTCACCTTGGGAAAGGCAGTCTCACAATGCAGCTAGCACAGAAAGCCAACTGCGCAGTGTTTGGGTTATAAAACAGCAGCGATTGAGAAGCAAAAAGAAGGGAGGGGGTTTCAGTTTACACTATGTACTTCGTAATTGTGAATATTTCAAGTCCCCTCTGATGCTTCTCTTTTCAATGTTAAATAATCTTGATCTCAAACTCTCATATGTAGTCCCTAGCATCCTTCTAACTCTAACCATCATTGACCTTCTCTGGACCTCTTCTGTGACTTCCTGACAGTGGCAGGACCAAATTAAACACAAACTCCAGATAAAATTGTACCATTATTCCATATCTACTGGTAGTGTTATTGTATAATTTCCTACATTGTTTTCTATCCCATTTTTAGTCCAAACATGCTGGCCTAGATTCTTATTTACATGAAAGCCTCTTTATGCTACTAAAGGGCCTTAATGTAAATGAAAATAAGGCCTCCCATTTTCAGTGCTGCTGTATATTGAGCAGCGTAAGTGGAAGTCTGGACTTCTCTTGCCAATGTGCATCACCATCATCACTCCTCTGAGCCACCTAGCCCGCTTGGAGGCTACTTTGAAAACTTTGCCTGCAGGGCCATCCCAGTGTCTACTTCCTCCCCCTCCTCATTAGAGAGTGATTGACTGGTCTGAGAAATAACATTGATAATCTTTAATTGGTTCCCCTTGATACTCAATAACAGAAGGGGTGCTAGAGACACTGGACCTGCTCCGACCGAAGTCATTGGTAAAATTTGCACCAACGTCAACTGCAACAGGTTCTGTTAGAAGAGCAAAGCTACTAATAATAATCTAGGCCAGGGTCAATGCCCATTGAAACCAACGGTAGAATTTCTATTGACTTCAGTGGCTTTGGATCAGGCTTTTACTGAACAGCTCTGGAAACATTTGATGGAATTACCAGCAAGCCTCTCGAATACGTACCTGGCTTGTATGGAGCCAGTATTTCAGCTTGGATTTCTTTTTGATTCGTGGTAGGACCAGTCTGTGTACTACATGTTCTCCAATGGTGGTGAGAATGGATAAGACAAATCCAACACATAACATCACAAAGAGTCCAGAGAAGTGGTTAATGCCCATTTGCAGTGTCTGTGCAAAATAAAAATAAAATGCCCTCTTGGTGTATTTTAATATACATAGTACACATTGCATTTTCAAATGCGTAAATATCATCTCAGTGAGCATGCATTAGCCAAATCATAACAGGTGGATAATGGACTGATTCTCATTCTAAGGCCCCTTTATACCACCCTGGCTGCCTTAAGATTCTTTGCACTGTCAGAGTGGTGAAGAGGGACCTTGATGTAAATGTGAATCTGCGCCACTGATGTTTTTTCCTGGGAAAATTAGATTAGTGGCACATATGAGAATCCTATTCCAGTGGTAGCTATGCTATAATCTGGAAATACTAGCACTGCTTGGCCGAACATCATCCAAGGATCAAGGACCAAGGCTTTAGTCAGCAGAGAGTCAAGAGTGATCGTTAGTGGT